CATTTGTGGGTTAGTTTCTAGAAACAAAGATGTTGTTAAAATAGTTTATTTCTCTTTCAAGGAAACATTTTAAAATCTTATTTTCACATTGCAAGTTAAAGCTAAAATTTCCAAATTGGTTAGGCTGATTGATTGGCTTATTGTAGGAAAAAGTAAACAAACTAGTGCATCAATGCCCTAATAATATTTTAGTGTATTGCTTGATTAGAGTCAATAGTATACTCATATAATTTTTAAGTATCTCCTACAAAGGACAACAAAGGAACATTTCAATATTCTTCAAAATTCCAAATAAACTTGAAGGAATGTCTGCAATTCCATTTCCACCACCTCATTTCACTATAGGTTGATGTATATTTAATTAATTTGTATTACCGACGACTTGCATGTTTGTAAACAACCTCTATGTCCTAAATGTTACAAAATCATTCACATAAATAAAGATTTTATCTCCATCTTCTTGTTTAAAATGTGGAATTGCTGAAATCATCTATTTAAGAACATTGTATCTTTTTTTCAAAAATCGCGTCTCAATATTTTAGCTTACAATTCATAATTGCAAGGCTGTGGAAACAACTCAAGTGCCCATCAATCCAAGAATGGATTAATAAAATCTGGTATATGTATACCATGGAATACTATTCAGCTCTAAGAAACAATGGTGATATACAGCACATCTTATATTTTCCTGGTTAGAGCTGGAACCCATACTACTAAGTGAAGTATCCCAAGAATGGAAAAACAAGCACCACATAAACTCACCAGCAAATTGGTATTAACTGAGTAGCACCTAAGTGGACACATAGGTACTACAGTAATAGGGTATTGGGCAGGGGGGAGGGGGGAGAGGGGTGGGTATATACATATATAATGAGTGAGATGTGCACCATCTGGGGGATGGTCACACTGGAAACTCAGACTTGTGGGGGGGAGAGGGGCAAAGGGCATTTTTTGAAACCTTAAAATCTGTACCCCCATAATATGCCGAAATTAAAAAAAAAGAAAAAAAATATTTTAGCTTAATCTTTTCAATAAATGCAAAGATAAAACCACAGCACTTCCAGAGTCTTAGCCCATATTCAGTTACTAGCCCATCTGACTCAGATGAAGTCTTAAAGTCCTCTTTATAAAGTAAAATGGACTTTATAAAGTCTACAAAACTTTTTCTGTGTTCCTTTTTAAAGTTCTTTACTTTAATAACAGACTTCTGTGTAATTAATCCCTTGGAGTTTGCTGTCACATAATCTACTCTGTGTACGAACTGTTCCATGTGTATTTTTCTGGCAACGAGACCCCTGAAAAAAATAAACAAATAAACAAAAACCAAAAGGAATCACGTATAAGGGGACGAATTGTGTAAAGTATAACTGGTCTCATATGCCAATAAACCAGGCAACAAGGACAGAAGTCTCAATCCATCTTATCAGAGATTTGGGAAAAGGAGTTCTCACTGCAAAAAATTTTTTCCTTTGACAGGAAACGGTAATATTTCCTTGCTTGGGAGCTAAAACAATAAGGCAACCATAAATAAATGTTGCATTAACTACCATTCAAATAGAGTTGAGTTGTTGTTTTTTCAATATTGAACTGGTCTCCCATACTTTTTGCCTAATCACACAAGTTTAGAATTTTGCTAAGAAAAATTCTTGTGAACTAATACTCAAACAAAGTTATTAGGATTTTATTATTTCTCATAAAGTCATTTCACACGTGTCAAGCAATGCTCAAGCACAGGAATACTGCTATCCATTTACTATTTTAAATATTTTTGAAACTTGCAAATTTCTCTATTTGAAAATAGAGAAAAATAACAATTTTTGCAGAGCGAATGGGGACCACACTCATTCCACTGAAAAAAAGATTTCCTGTAAAAACAGAAATTGGCGATTTAGTCTAAGAAAACACAGCAAAAGCTGGGAAGAAATTTGAGGATGCTTAAATTTCCACTGTGGAACAACTTCTGCTGCCCAGTGGGAAGGGGGAAAAAAAACACCTGCAACAGGATAGGAGGAGAGGAAGACAAGCTAGGACTACACAGCCAGTGAGGGGAAAAGGAGGCAGGTCCCCAGTATGTGAAGAGGCAGCTGACAGGAAACGAATATATACCTTCAGAAGAATTCTAAGGCAGATTTTGTAGTCACCTGCCACATCAGAGAAAAACAAGAAGGCAGTCAGTATTTGTGGGGGAGACTGGACCAGTGCACAGCAGATACTGATGAGTTTAAAGCACCTTTTAACTAGAGGAAATATTAGTGAGGTGCTGAAAGTTGCTGCCACCAACTGGGCAGCAGGCAGACTAAAGGGGTTACAAGTCACTTTCACTTCATAAACTGTGCATTTCCATCAAAATGGCAAACAGGTTTTGCCATAGTCAAAGAGGTTAGTTTTGAAGCTAGTAATATTTTAACAAGCAAAAATAGAAATTTTAAACAATAACTGGAAAAATGTAATACATAACTGCTTTTCCTGATGATGTATACAGCAGGGCACAGTTAAAGGACTTATTCATGTAAGACTGTAATGGCAATAAGCAGAGAGAATAAATTTTATATCTTATTCAAATTTAACATCAGAATTGGTGTTTGTTTAAAATCTTCAGGAAAGCCTTTGATCCAGCAATTCAACTTTTACTGATTTATACCACATATAAACTTGTATACATTTACACGTAGGTAGATAGAAGAATGTTGGTGATGGCAAAAGATTTAATATAGTCTAAAGAGCCATCATTAGAAAACTGTTCCAGCCACATGATGGGATTCTATACAACAAGAAAACGCATGAGGTAAGTCCATATGTGTTAACAGATGGATGTAGTAAAGTTCAGAATATTAGGTACAGTATATTCCATGTATTAAAAAAGGACAAACACATACATGGGTGTATGCATACACACATATTTATAAATGTACATATATATATGTCTGTAATATTTCTAAAAAATATATACAAGAAAGTGGTCTCTGAGAGGTAGGAGGAAATACTTTCAATTGTTTATCCTTTTAGATTATTATTTTTACCCACCATATACATTATATACATATAAAACCTTATAGATAACATGAGAATTAGGAACACTAATAATTACTATTCTATTAATACCATGTTTTAAGGAAGGCTTTATAAAAAATTTGCAATAAGAGAAGGTCTGTGTTAGTGATCAAATACTGTAAGGAGCACAGAGAGGCGTCTCACTTAAATAATTAAAAAAATGTAAAACCCAACAGAAATGAACACTAGTGTGAGTAAAAGTGTGGCATCCTGTTAAACAACAAAGTAAAGCTTAGTTTCTATTTCACATTGGGACTGTGCCTCCCAAGGAAACATACTGGCTGGTGAAAGCACAGAGATGAGACATAAGTCTAACCAAGCTTAATGCTGCCCTGTAGATTTTTATCTACAGAATTAAGCCTTCATTTCCTCTATGTATAGGAGCAATGCTATCAGAATAGATATTAAGATAATATTGCATAGCAGAAATATGTTTTGTAAGGAAAATGCTGGACTAAATCAAGTCCTTTTAAGAACATCTGAAAATGAGAGTTTCAGTTCATTTATTGAACTTGCCATGTGCCTTGTACACAGGGCAATAAATGTCTGCTGCCTGATCAGGGTCAGACTTACCATGATAAGCAAATTTCCTTTCCAACATTATCGGAATGCTGGGTTTATTTCCCCCAAAGGCCAAGATGGAACCGAATTAATCATAACTATTTTCTGGGGTCAGAAAATCATATATATTTACCACAGCCTAAGCATTTGGCTCTGACAATCATCTTGTCCCTAGTTCAGACAAGGACTCAAAAACTGCTCTGTTCAGTTTGCTGTACTCTTTCTTCTCCTATCTGGGCCATAAAAACACAGATTTCACTACATATATACAATTAAAACAGCCCATAGCAAAAAAAGCATAAGTGAAATGTTCAGCTACATATCCAAGTGGACATTGTCACTTGGCCATATAATCAAGCTACAGAACCACCCAGGAAAAGAGCTTCAGTGAGAATTTTTTAAATTTAATAGAAAACCTTTGTATATTTACTGTCTGGGTTCATTTAACAGGCTCCTCCAAGGAGATAAAAAAGGGGTCATTTATAGTCCATCCCGCTGTTTCTGCAGAGGCTTGAATTTAAACAATCCCAGAAAGACAGATTTCTTTTCCAACCTGAAAAATCTTAAAGGAAATGTATTCCCGACCCCCTTCAAGTCAGGAAACTGACAACCTTGAGACACCCTGCTTAATTTAAATCTTTCCTGCTGAATGGTCTTCTGTAACAGGGGCAGGAGAAGCCGGTGAAATGGTCCATGGCATGTACATAACACATACACCACTGGCTAAAAAACACCCACTTAAGACCAGCCGCTGCAGCATTACTGCCTCAGTGAAATAGAGCGCTCCGCACAACCCGAAAACAAGTTTTCAGAAACACTTGTCCTGCTCTGCTTCCAGGGTAGACATCTGAAAGGGAGCACTGCCCAGAAAATTCGGTCCCTAATTTCATAAGTGTACTTTACAGGAGAGACAACTATTAACCGTGTTCCTTCTCCTCTGTCACTGGAAATCCCTTCCTTTCCTGGTTCCCCTTCAAACAGGGCATCCACAAAGATGCCCACAAGGGAAGTGCTTTCCCCTAGACACAACCGGAATTGGTATGAAGGGAAAGGAATGGGCTTCTCTTCTCCCAGTCGCGACTCCTCCCCTTCTTCCTCAAGGAATCATCGCCTCCCCAAATCTGCCGCAACAATGGCCCTTGCAAGATTCCTTTTAATCGTGCCCTCTCCTCTGCGGCCGAAATCCTTGGAGGAGCAAGGTGGGTTAGCCCCAAACTCGACGAGAGCTGCGTAACCCTAGCACCTCCAAGGTGCCCCCAGGACGTCTTGCCACGGAAGGAGCATTCCACTTCGAGAATCGCCCCTGTCAGTTGGTCTAAGTCAGGGAAACTCGGGAGAAGGGGGAGGGGAGACCCACACCAAAGGAGTTGACCGGTTGGTTCCTTTACCCTTTAAGCGCGTCGTGTCCTCCGCCGCCTCTTCTCTTGGCCCGGCTGGCTCTGGTTTCCTTCACGTTCCCAGCCTCCAGATTGGCGTCCGCCCCATGGCTCGTGTAGGACGCTAAGAGCACGGTAAATCCCAGGATGATCTCCAGCAGGCCCCCTCGCCGCATGGTGCCGAGCCGCCGCCGGCTCCCGCCGCCTCTGGCTGCGCCCCGGGCTCGGTCTGCGGCCGCCGCTGCGCCCTGAAGCGCACCGCGCCGCCGGGGTCCCGCTCTCCCGCCGCCCGTCCCCCGGGCCGGGCTCCTCCCGCCTCCTCCAGGCGCGGCTCCCACTTCAGGCGGCCCCTGCCAGCTGCAACAGAGACAAACCCCCGAGGCGGGGGAGACAGTCGGCCCCGGGATGCTGAAGCCTGGCGGTCCCCATTCCCCAGCCAGCCCAACCCGCGCGCCGCCTGCGCGTGGCGCAGTTAATTTGGGTAAGTGGAGACCGTTGGGTCCACCGTTGGCCGAGAAGCGCAGGCCCCCGGCGGCGGCAGCTCCGGCCGAGCCCTCGGCCTCCCAGACGCCGCCCGAAGAGCGCAGCGCAGAGCGCCCGCGTCCCGAGCGGTCCTCAGCCCCGGGGCGAGCTCGCTGGGTTTATTTTTTCAGTGGCACGAATTGCGCGCCATGCGCACTCGCAACGCCCCAGCTCCTCAGCCTGTCCTCTCCGCCAAGCCGCGGGGCTGGAAGCCCGCCGCGCCGTCCCTGCCGGCTCGGGGCGCTGCCACCGCCCCCGAGCATCCGACGCCGAGCCCGACACCCGGAGCCCCCGGCCAGGAAGCTGTCAGGCAAGGGAGGGCCAGCGCCAGCTGTGGACGTTCCGGGACGGCCCCTCACCCCAGTCCCCGTCCCTGCCCGCGGCGCGGCGCGGCGCAAACGCAGGAGCCTCCGTGGCCGGAGCTCCAGCCGCCGTGGCCGCCCGACCCCCGTCGGGACCCCGGCTGCACCCACTGGAGAAGCGGAGGCTCCGGCTCCCCAGGAGGCGGCGGCGGCTGCTCGTCGGTCCTGGCCGCTGCAGCCGCGGGTCCGCTCCGCCCGCAGCTGTCCCAGCTGTGGCCGCCTGTCCGCCTGTGGCACCCACAGTCTCTACCGCGGCTCCCGCGGCCCCCTCCTTTCCCCACCTCTTCAAATATCGTCCGCGCAGCGGTTTCTCGCGAGAGAAATACTTTTCAAAAAAAAAAAAAAGAAAGAAAAAGAAAATGACACCCCCTCCTACATCCCCCTCATCACCACCCCACCCCCGGCCCCATCCATCCTCCCTTTCCACTCCCCTTTGCCAGCCACCGCCTCGGCGCGGGGCCTCCCTCGCTCGCAGGATTAGCGCAGTGGGAGGAGGCAGAGGTGACCAGGTCTGCCAGGCCTGGGATTTCTCGTCCTGGGGTGGGGAGGAGAGAAATGGGAAGAGGTGGAGTAGCGGTTTTAGCCCGCTCTGCGGCTGGGAGGTCTAGACCCGAGATTAGCTTCTCCCGTGATCCGGGAAGCCCGGCCGGCGCAGAAAGCTGTGCCACCTGCACCAAGAATGCGCGCCGGAGCCCGCGGCCCCGGAGGCCTGGGAGGCCCTGGAGGCCCTGGCCGGAGAGGAGACCCGTCCTCGTCGCCCCCCTGCCTCCCTACGCCTCTCCTGGCCGGTACCCAGCCCCCAGCCCCAGGCCGCAGTGGGGGCTGAGGGGGTGAGGGAACTGATGTGCCGACCAAGGAGGGGGCTTTGCCGCCGCCACTTGCCCCCCGCCCCTGGGTGTCGAGAGCCCATTCAAGGCGTGGCTCTTCCGAGGCTTAGTTCTAGCCACTCAGCCTGAATCCAGGATGCTCCAGGGCTTCCAGCTGGATTCCAACCCAGGGGCCTGTGAGTGCTGGAACCTAAGATTTAGGATGGGGGCGATGACAGGATGGTCCTCTTGCCCAGTCCACAGTTAAGACTGGGGTTCCCGGGACGATCCCACTTACCTCCAAAACACACACACACACACACACACACACACACACACACACACACACACGGCTGCCTCTTCAGGATATGCAAGGCACAGTGAATTTAGTGGCTTTGAAGGATATAGTATTTGTGTCATCCTTATATGGATAATTCCCTGGGTTGCCTGCATCCTACAACAGTTTAGGAGGGCAGGAAATTGCACACTGAACCTTGCCTGCTAGAACTGAGACCCCAGAAAATTCCTGTGCAGCAGCCACCAGCTGTCAAGTCAGGAATAAGAGCTCAGCACAAACATGTACCCTAGGAATGCATCCTGTTGGAGGGATTTTCCTTCTTTGCAATAGTTTGTAAAGGGGCCCAGATATTCAACTTCTTTCCAATTGCAAGATGGGACAAATAATGTCCACCACACAGGGTGGTAATGGTAATGATGGACATGCTGACTGCTATGATACATGAATGTGAAGATGGAATAGTAAAACTGCAACATATGAGATGATTTAAAGTGATCGTTCTATAAGTGTGTGGTCTGGTTTAAGATTCATGAATTAAAGCCTTGGTCACACACTCTCAGTTGAGTAAAGGAGATCGTTCATTCGTTACTGAGCACCAACTTTGTACCTCTTGGAGCATTGTTGAACCAAACTGACTAATGAGCAAGAAGAAATGTGTCTCCCCTGGCACAGGAGGAAGTCTACAGGGAAAGGCAGACTTGAAAACAAATAATGACCCAATAGTTAAGTGCCAAGAAGGATAAGTACTGAGTGCTTGCTTGGAGAATAATATATCATGGGTGCAGGAGGGAGCAGGGGGTTCTACCTAGGCTAGGGCTGATCAAGGAAGGTGTCCCTGAGGAAGTGACTTTTAATTTAAGTCCTGCCCACCAGTTTTCTGGGCTGTTCTGCAATCTGGAAGCTCTATCTGCTTTCCCTATACTCTAGGAGCATGCAAGACACGCTGTGCACTTCTCTGTTATTATCTTCCACTCACTGCCTCGTTGGACAGCAGCAACCCAACACAAGACTTTTCTAAGGCTTTTGCCCAGGAAGCAAAGAGCAAACCCTAGTGTCCTGAAAGTCTCCCCTTCCAGCATTTACAGATGTTTCTATTACTCCAAACTCAACCCTAAACTACCTTCCAGGGTTTTATCTCCAAGAGAAGGATATAGATTAAATGCTTTTATCTGGCCTTTGCTTCCCATCCCCCTCCTCTTTTTTTTCCTAGACCCCTCCCTCCAGTAAAGACTCTATTTCTTCTTTATATTGGGTAGGAGCTCTGGGCCATATACTTCACTCTTTAGTCAATAAATCTCACATCCTAACCAGAATGGTAGAAGACCAACAGGGAAGGGGAGGTGGGAGAAACATGATTACTGAAAAGGGAATGCATTTTTAAATATGTAAGAAATATTCCCATTATCTAGGCAATCAACATACATTAGAGCAGTATGATACTAGTGACAAAATTCAATAACAAATAACAAAAATCTGTGCCTTTGCAATAAAATTTTCTTGATGCTGGATGATTCAAGACCCACATCTTTTTGAACTTATTATAGGTTGGTGTTTTGTTTTGTTTTGTTTTCTCACGGATTGTTTTGTACTGTTTGCAAAAAAGTCTACAGGCTGGAATTCCATTGTCTTATCTCATCATTTCAAAGAATTCAATCCATCCTAAGAAAATCTGTTTAAATTTCTCCTTCTTATAAGGTGTTTTGGCTCGTGCCAATCTCTCTTATTTGAATATCATTGCACTAATTAACTGAATTATTCACTTAATAATTAACTTTAATATATAATTGTAGCATACCTATTATATACCAAGTACTGTTCGGCACTGACAATTGAGATATTTATTCTATTGTTATAGGGAACTATATATATTTTTTTCTGTATCCATTATATTTATTCTCCCTTGCTATATTATAGATACAGTAAAGGACAAAGTTGTATATGTTATTCATTCATGGAAACTTACACAGTGTCCTGAAAGCTGTAACAAAAGATAAATAGTTTGGTGATTGTTGTTTGAGCAGTTGGGATCTTGTGGCATTTTTAGCTTCAAGAGCACACTCATCACTTTATATCTCCTGTATAAAATCTGCGTCAGCAAGGGTTCTCTGTCACGAGCAAGAAAACTAACTCTGGACAACTTAAGCGGAAAAAAAAATTAAGTATTATCAGGTTGTGAGATGATTCATTGAACTATACTTTGGGATAAAACAGGGAATAGTACAATTCTGGGATAGAGGTAGCAGAAAACCTCTTCAGAGTGATGCCATTTGGGTAAATCAATTCCAGCCATTTTGGTTCCTTTGCCATGCCTCTCAAGGTTCAAATTCAAAGGAGAGGGTCCTATTGACCTAGCTTTTTAGGGAACCTGTCCACAATCCTGCCCAAGGGATGATGGAGCACCTTGATGGATGGTCCCAATAAGAATGCATGTCATGGGAAATGGTTACTTCATGAAGGATGGCCAAAACCCTATTTCATTCATGCACCCAAAACTGACGGCATTGATGCTTTAAAGGCACACACACAAAAAATTCCCAATGTCCACTACACCATCTGAGGAACTTTTGAGGGTGCATAGAGCTCACTGTGATAAAGCACTTGCAAACACATAAGAAGCATACTCTAAAATCAGCTTCTAAATCTAAACCATGACTTCACAAAAAGTGAACTAGACTTTCATGCAGCCTCAATTTCCCTCATTGATGGTGGCAAGTAGATCACTCATGATACAACCAACTACATCATCAAAAACTAGCTTTTGACACTTAGTGTTGCAGAATTTTTTAGTTATAAAAATATAATGCATTTGGACATGTACACAGCTCCACACACAAAAAAAAATATAATGCATCTATTACAGCTGCCAGAAACCATACCTACTTATATATATATATATAAAGAGAAAAATATACCTTCATGTACATAATCTCATGTAATCTTTACCATAACTTTGTGGTGGATTAAAAAACCATGGCCACAATATTTGTTATCTTCCTCCATCAAGAAGTGGAGTCTGTTTCTCAGCCCTCTGAATCTGAGCTGGGCTTGTGTCTTTGACTAATAGAATATGGTGGAAGTAACATTGTGTGACTTCGAAGGCTAGGCCTTAAGATGCCTCGCGGCTTCCTCTTTACCCTATTCGATGTTGCTCTGAGATGGCTGTGCCTTCGAGAAATCCAGGATGAAAGACTAGGTGGAGAAACAGCCCCAGCTGTCTCAGCTAAGTCAAGACTCTTGCTGAGCCACCAACTAAATTTAGCCACATAAGTGAGCCCAGCAGATCAGCAGAACTGTCCAGCCAACCCACAGAATCAACACATCATTGTTGTTTTAAA